TATCACAGAAATACAATATCGATATTACTACATGTGTAACGATGGGGAGTGGTCAGTAATAGGTTGTTAAAGCCAAAAAATAATTAATTCAAAATTATTATAAATAAATAAAAGTTGAACAATTGCTTAATATGGTCCATGTTAATCTAAATAGGGTTTTGTATGGATAAAAGCAGAAAAGTCCATTTTTGTACTATTTCCACGAAACTGACTATTAACAAATAGAATAGTTGTAAATAATAGTAAATTATTATAGTTGAAATTAAAGTAACAATATAAAAAAAGTTTGTTAATCCCAATAAGGTTATCGAAGAGATCAAAACACTACCGACCAATTTTTTAAATAACAGAAAAACAAATTTTGATTTAATAAAGTGGTTTTTCGAACAGTAGTGAACTGCAATAACAAAAATTCATTTTATATTATTTGAATTAATTGACAGCTCTTTTCAAGTATTGCCAAATACCCATCATCAGCGGTCTTGGAAATAATTCTTGTATTTAATTATTCGTAAATAATTTTTTTAATTCTTCAAGTATTAGAAATCGAACTCGTGTTCTGCCAAATTTAATTTAATTTAATTTTATAAATAAAATTTATTTTAATTTTAAAATGCATAAATAAAATTAAATTAAGTGAAAGAAAAGAAAAGTGATAAATAATAATATATACAGATATAAATAGAAAGATATAGATATGATAGATAAAAATTTATAGATATATATACAAGGTGAGATGAAAAAACTGCAACCAACTTCAGACTGCTGTCATTTCTAAACCGCTCGGTTTGTGTTTTTTTCTCCAACCCCACCAGGCCGTGGCTTCAGGATTTTTATTTTTTCTGGTATCCAGTGACAGCTCATTATATTGTTTACAAGCGCACAAAAGCATTTTGGTGGGAATTTTTCAAAAAAAAAGTTATTTGTGATGGAATTCAAGCGTGATAGTGTGATTGCTTTGCATTTGGCTGGAAAACCACAAGTGGCTATCGTTAGAGCCCTCCAGCATTTAGAAGTGAATAAATGTTTTGTGTCTCGTACCATCGCTCGTTACCATGATACTGGTAGCGTAGCCCGACGTCAAGGAAGTGGACGAAAAAAAACAGCAACATCGGCAGAAATGGTTCGAAAAGTGAAAAAGCGAATTGAACGAAATCCGCGTCGCAGTGGACGAAAAATGGCTCGTGAGCTGAACATATCGCAATATGCCATTCGGCAAATATTGAAAAATGAGCTTGGACTAAAGCCATTCAAGTTCCAAAAAGTGCAAGATCTTACTGATGCGCAAAAAAAAGTTAGACTCGAAAAAGCTAAAGAGTTGTTTCGCTTGGCCGAAAGTGGTGAACTGCCGAATTTGGTTTTCTCCGATGAGAAACCATTCGTTATCCAGCAGTTTGTAAACAAACAAAATGATCGTGTTTACTTGCCAGAGAGGTCAGCTGAAAATTTGCAACTTCTGTTGGCCATCACAACTCAAAAGCCGGCCATGGTGATGGTGTGGGCCGCCATAACAGCCGATGGTCGCTCGCCGCTCGTATTCATCGACCGTGGTGTCAAATTCAATGCGCAAATCTATCGCGAAAATATTTTGGAGGGAGTTCTGAAGCCCTGGGCACGCAAACATTTCGGCCGCAGACCTTGGACATTCCAACAGGACTCAGCACTATCGCACTCAGCACGCGCCATCCAAGAATGGTTAAGAAATGAGGTTCCTCGCTTCATTTCCACCGCACAATGGCCACCAAAATCTCCGGATGCCAATCCGTTGGACTATTGTGCCTGGGGTATTTTGGAAAGCAAGGTTGGCACTAAAAAATACCAAAGTGTCGATCATCTCAAGCAAGCGCTTCGCCGAGAATGGGACAAAATACCGCAGAGCCACTTTCGGGCAGCGTGTGATGGTTTCATTGGCCGTTTGAAGGCCATAGTTCGTGCCAAAGGTGGCCAATTCGAACAATTCTAAACCGATTCTCAAATTTGATGTTATTTCCGACATTTTTTGCTTTCATTCAATAAAATTTAAAAAAAATGAAAAAATTATGGCGTTTTACTTTGTTGCAGTTTTTTCATCTCACCTTGTATATATATAAAATTAGAACAATAGTTGAAGAGGAGGTCTTAATCTCAATATGGTTTTCGGAAAGATGCGAAGTGGTAAATATAATGGAACTACCTCACTTTTTTTTAAAAAAGTTTTTCATCACGTTTCAATTTATATAAATAGTTACATTATATTTATTAACATAATATTATAATATAATGTAGAGGAGGCAATGGTCTTTCCTGGACTGTGATGTCAAAATGATGATGATATTTATTAAATAATTAGTTATATTAAATATTATATTTTATACAATGTAATAGTTCTGTTCATTCTGATGGCAAAATAAAATTAAAACAGAGATTTTATTTTATAGAAAAAATTATTTTTTTGTATCAGATTTTATTGTTAAATACGTATCTATTCAAAAGTTTTGAAATCTTAAGTAGCAATGATTCCTGATGATTGATCGTTCGTTTCTCAATAACTCTGAAATACTCGTAGTTTTATGTGTTATATATTGTTCAATTAAAAACTTTCTTCTTTTTAGTTTTAATCATACCCATACACTTCTTTATCAAATCCAATTTAACTGAAAATATGTGGGTGATTTCTAATGACTTTCTAATGAGTTCTGGTACAGTTTGATAAAATAAAAAATTTATTTCAATTCAGGAAATAAAAAATTTCCCCAAATTTATCAATATAATATTATTAATTAGTCTATATTCATAACTCATTTTTAAATATTTTTGAAGACTAGTGATGATGGATATTTAGCAGTATTCGGAACACCTTTAAAATCTGCTCAGAAATTAATTTTTGTGGTCAAATTTCTTCACTTTTAACTACTTTTATATACGAACTATTGATTTTGTCATTGGACATAAAAACTTTACTAACAAATTAAATAAATAATATCAAAAAATTAGTTAACACCAAATTTGTTGAATAGTAAATTCGAATACAAAATGCTGTCAATGTCTCCATTAATGCAATAATAGTAAAACATATTGAAATGAAATTCGCATAACAAACTTTATTGCTCAAATAAAAAAATATGTGAAAATTATTATTTAATTATTTTGACACCAAAGAGAAAAAAATATTTCTAAAACAAATATATTTGTTTACCTAAATATTCTAGACAGTAGCAACTGATATCTCTGTGCAAACAACCAACAGCAATCTTAGATCAACATACTGCCTCGGGCCTCTTCCGTTTACTTACACTCGAGAGCACAGAACCAACATAATTTCTAGAATTTTTGCTACTGTATTTTCGCCAAAACATTTAATTCAGTATTTTTTATTCAGATGTTGCAATGATAATTAACTTTAGTCTTCGCTAACTTCTTACATCTTAAAGACAATTTTTCTAGAAAAGTTGAAGTAATTTTAACGTAAAGTGATTGGAAGGGATTTGAGATGTTTTATTAAGAACTTAAGTGAATAAAATGATTAGAAATCGGCGATATCAAAATGAAACAAAAGGCAAGTGTTGGTATCAAAATAGAATTTATTTTTCCTAATGAAGCTGATTAGATACAAAACATTTACCCAATTAACAAATTAAATATTTAATTAGTGTATATAAAAAATAAAAATAATTTTACAGAAGTTTAAAAATGATTATTATAATAATATTTCGAACGTGCATAAATTAGTACTGAAAATAATATGAAAATTAAAACTTTTAATTTTAAATATATATATGTATCTAGTCCATGCCTTACAATTATCCAGAAGTTGTGATTTTAATAACATAAGCCTGAGATATGTAAAAATTTGTAGTTAAACGAATTAAGTCAAAAGTCTGTATGTTTTTTAAAATTTGGATTCATCTCACCAATCACCTTAAGAAATCTTGATTTGTTTCGGGACCTTTACATAAGTCTATGTTTCTTCAACCAGTAGTGAAGAACAGCATTACCGTTTTGAATTAAATGGATATTATCAATTCAATAAAATTTGTATAAAAATTTGCTTAAATCCCTCAAAAACAATTTTTTAAAGCATTTGAATACGTTCTTATGCAATTTTATATTAATAAAATGTTAAACCGATTTATATATAGATATCAACGCACTAAGTGATAGGTTCAATGTAACCCCAGCTTAAGTTCCCGGGCATTCTAATATAGTAAGAAACAAGCGCACAGATGAGCTTGCTAGAATTGGATTAGACTCTTCTACGGATACTCCTATTTCAATCCCTGTTCCTGCCAGCTACAGTCGGAGGGTGATTTATGATTACTTTTTGAGACGGGCTAATAGTGAGTGAACCCATACTACCCTCTGCCGACAGTTCAAGGGGTACATGGCCCATCGATTTCAAATTCAAATCCTCTGACTTGATACACAGAAGTAAATCAGAGGTATCTCGGTTGATATCTATCTTTACAGGGCACTGGACCATAGGATGGCATGGAGCTAGACTGAGCCTACCACTACAAGAGTCTACTAACTCTCGAAGAAAGGACACAAGAAAACCTGTTGTGTCTATGTCAGTACCTTTTCCCATCTATTCAGAATTTTTATTTATTCATTACTTTGGAAACTAAAAAACTGAGGTCATTAAAATGACCTGTGACCTATAAGCCTTAGCTTCAAACATAACATCCTTCGTTTGAAGAATCCATCTCTTTACAAATGATATGGTTTTGTGAACACTGTTGCCATATGTATATATGTCAAGCCGGAGACTTATTGAATGATTTAATGTATATATAAGCTTAGTTCCATAAGAGTATAGTGTTTCAAGATATACACACTCAATTTCATTCATTAGCTTAAAATAATTTTCCATGAAATTACAAGCAGTTCTCGTCCTAATTTTTTAACAATTTAGATCCTTTAATCTCATTTTAATTTCTGAATCACTTTTAATTTAACAAAATGCTTTGAATCGAACTGCTTTACTATATATGGAATAAAATTTTATTCCTTACAATGTTTTTATTCCTTCAGGATCATATTTTGGCATGCGACACTTGCAGTGTTTATTACTTTTTAATGGCTTGGCCGTTGGCTATGCAATGCGCGTAAATCTTTCGGTTGCGATTGTGGCCATGACAGATGAAAATGGTGAGGGTATTGATTTTACTGTGAGTTGACTTTAAATAATATTTATTAGCAAATATCCTTTAATAACTTCTCATAAAAATAAGGTTTACAATTGGACAGAGCAAATAAAATCGTTTTTGCTGAGCAGCTTCTTTTGGGGTTACTTTATTACTCAAATACCAGGTGGTCAGTTGGCGGTAAAATTTGGTGGTAAAATGGTTTTCTTCTATAGCATACTTATAAGCTCGGTACTAGCGGTACTGACACCTCTCTGTACACAATTTGGTGATTGGAAATTATTATTCGCGTTGCGTGCCATACAAGGACTGAGTCAAGGAGCGCTATTTCCAAGCACACATACAATTCTGTCGAAATGGGCGCCTGAACAAGAACGTGGCATTTTGTGCACATTTTGTTATGCGGGAACTCATTTTGGCTCGGTTATAATATTTGCCATAAGTGGTTTTATTGCCGCATCTCCATTAGGCTGGCCAGGTATATTTTATGTATCTGGTGCACTAGGTTTTCTTTGGCTTGCTGTGTGGTTCATATTGGGTGCGGATAGACCCAGTGATTGTAAGTCAATATCGAAAGAAGAGCAACGCTTGATTGAGGACTCAATAGCTGAAAAACAATTTGAAACTCCAGTGAACCAGAATTTAAGAACGCCGTGGTGGAAAATCTTTACATCTGTTCCAGTATTAGTTTTAATTGTAGTACACTGTGCACATAATTGGGGATTTTGGACGCTGCTAACACAAATTCCTACCTACATGAAATTTATATTAAACAGAGACATTAAAAGCAATGCACTGTTATCCACTCTACCTTATTTAGCAGTACTTCTGCTTTGTTTTGTATTCTGTTACGTCTCCAATATATTTACTAAGTACCGCATTCTGAAGATTGGAACGAATAGAAAGATATTTAACACAATCGGCCAGTGGATACCTGCGTTAACACTGATCGCTTTAGGTTACGTACCATCAGATCAGGTTAATTTAGCCGTAGCTGTGCTTACCATCACAGTCGGGGTTAATGCTGCCTCATTTTTAGGCTTTCAAGTAAATCACATTGATTTGAGTCCAAATTATGCTGGTATCTTAATGGGTATCACTAATTGCGCGGCTAATATAATGAGTATTATAGCTCCTTTGGTTGTGGGCTTCGTAGTCAGTGATGAGGTGAATATATAATTTTAAATTATTTTATTTAATTTAGCACAGACTAAACGCTATATTAACTAACTTACAGACGAATCCTCAACAGTGGCGTACTATATTTTACATAGCTGGAGGTTTTTATTTTATTGGAAACTCACTTTTCATTATTTTTGGTAAGACTCGTGTACAAACGTGGAATGAATCTCAGAGCTCATCACAGGAAATGAAACCAGTAGCGCAAAATATAAATGATGTTAAGGTTAATTAAATTGTATGTAACATAAAAGAGAGTTCAAGAAATAAATTAAGAAGAAAATTTACATGTCGTAAAACAGCGTTTGTTACTAATTTAAATACGAAAAGGGGTTCAGGGCATGACGAAATTACTAAAAAAGCACTTTTCGGATAAGACAACTCAACTCCTTATGTCATGAAGTGAAAAGTATAACCATTATTGATGTAACAAATATTTACGAACATCAATTTAGTAAAGACTAGGCTAAACACTAAAAAAAACTAGACATTAGAACAAACACTTAGAAAGAAATCTAATCTTGTCTGTGCTGCATTTTAGAAAAAGCATCGCCATGCTATAATCGGAATCAGGATGTAAAATACACAAGCGATTGCTTATGTGATATGTCTACAATCTTCTGCAATTTTGCATAAGGGATTAAAGTTGAAGATTTAATATAATATATTAATGACTTGATTGTGAAATTATAAGAGGTTACCTACAAGAAAGAGTCGTGTATCTATTGTTATATATCATATATACCTCTAACCTTATTTTGTCACTCCTTATAAATAACGAAGTAGTTCTTTACTCCCACAAGAATCCAAATTTGGATCTCCAAAACATTTTATCACATTTTCGACTTGTGAAAAACATCCATTTAAATAAAAGATAAGGAATAGAAACCTGAAAAATGGGTAATTGAAATTATCGAACCAAGAAGTATCCCTATAACATTCAGTTCTCAACAAAGCAGTTTACTCCTCATTTAAAACAAAAAAAAATTTTGTTTATCCATTAAATATGCACACAAAACTGAAATGCTTGAGTTCTAGAGAGAAAAAATTCAAGTATAGCTGAAAGGTGAACGTATTAATTGAGGTTATAAAGTCAACCTTGATAACAAAGTAATCCTGAACAATCAAACCGAATTAAACTACTTAAAGAAAATTACAAAGCTTGGTCTGCATCTTAAATGTTTGTAGAATACAAAATAACAAACTTAAATTCTAAGTAAAATACCGGAGTTCCATCTTAAGAGTATGATTTGAATATATAAGGAAAGATATTTGTTGAAACACCATACTTTTCAAGTCAACAGATGGACGACTATTTGGTATTTCTACAGACTTCTGTCTCAAGACGAAATAATTAATATATTTATTTATTACAATATTTATTATAATATAGATTTTTTTGTTTTATTACAACACAATTAAAAAATATGTAATTTAACTGAAAACAACTCTAAATTAAGCTCCTTCACTTCGTTCACGCATGCATTCAGTGCGTAAATTAGAAAGAAAATACAAAACTTGAATTTGGATAGTTCAAATAAAAATTTGTTATGACAATAAGTATATAATCATCTTTGAAACTATTTGGCTCGAATTATCCCAATAGATGAGAATAGCCTAATAGTATGTTTCCAGTGCATTCGTTACCAGTTTATTTGCTTAAGTTCGCTAATTAAATTTGTTTAATCTATTTCGTGCTTTTTAACATTTCGTGCTTTTTAACTTAATTAAGAATAAATCAAAGGAAATTAGATTAAAAATGTCGAATGCAACACTGCAAAATATGTTTCGTAAAGGGGAAATTACCAAAATAATATAATAATAATATATTTGACACATGAAACAATATTTTAATAAATAATAATAATATACACAATATTTTTGTATTTTTCATGATCAATTAATTTACTTCTGCTAACAAAACGAAACTTAATATTACGTGCTAACAAGTGATATATAAACAATTAATAGCTCTTTTAGAACTTTCACAGAACTGTCTGACACATATAAGCCCTTTCACATGCAATAATCAACTTATACCAATAGAAACGACTAAATCTTAATTTGATTAACAAAAGGTATTTTAGTTGCAGTGGAAACATGGTATAAAATAAACAACAATCAAAAGGGTGAGTAACAGCACTTAATATCTTTAAAATTTAAAAAAAAAGAACCTAGTACAACCTCATAGCTGATTACCAAATACATATTTATATGATACTGCAACGTTTACCTATAGATTGGAGTTATTACATACCAATAGGCTCGACGTCTTGTCAATCAGCCATTTTATAGGTGTGTATTTTCATATCCAGCTATAATCCAGTTATTTATTTTTATGTTCTCGTGCCATCTTAGTTTGCATAAAGTAATACCTAGTTATTTTGCTGTGCTTGCACAAGGATTTGATTTCCATCAAAGTAAAGAAGTGAAATTAGCATTTACCATTTTCTTATATAGTAAATTATGATAAAAAACTGTCGCTGTAAGTGCGGCCAAACGAGGACCCAAAATACCCTATAAGTCTCCAGAATTAATTTTTCAAATCTTTATAGGCACCTCTAGGGAAAAACCGATTGGATAAATACGAAACAATTATATCGCAATTATTGGCCGGAAAGACTGATATGCCAAACTGCAATAAATGATTTACCAAATAAGAAAAAAAGTGCTAACTAATAGTACTAAAAATGAAAAAAGTAATAAATTCTCAGAAAAACTTCCGTAGAGTATCTCGGTATAAAAATCTGTAAAGCTAGAAAAAAAATTGTATGATTATATTAAATTTCTTAATTACTTATTTCCTAAAAATCTTTCTCTATTACTGAAACGGTCTTTCGTATTGAGTCACCACTTCTTCTTTAATTATTTAAGTAATGAAAATTAATTTTATTAAAATATTTATTTAAAGCTTAATTTAAAAATACATATTTAGCAAAAAAAAGTCCTAGTTTGCAACAGTAAAAAAAAAACAATTACTTGTCCTTATTACCAGTAAAGTATGACATTGAAACCATACACTCAACTGCAATTCGTGGTAAGAACCGATTGAATGGTGGCACAGAGTACCCACCCGACATCACCCAATTTAAAAATAAAAGTTGAACGTGCTGAGTCACAGCACTGAGGATACCGAAATGCATTTGGCACTCTGCACGTGCTTTCCATACGTGCCTGATAATGTGCTGGTGGTAGTGAAAATCCTTTGCAAATTTATTCTGCTTCCTTATGTATTTAAACAGAAATCCAACCAACTCGAAAACTATCACTGCTGACTATGGCTGGCATAGAATGTCAAGGATATTTTCCACGTTAGTTGCCAACATTTAACGGAAAATGCAAAGAACGTCTACACGAGCTGCTTTTATTGATTAAAATCAAATGAAGTGTTCCGATTCTTACGTATTCGTTTAAGACTATATCGTATTGCATATATGTATTCTCTTTATATATGCATTCTGTGGCATTCTAAGGGAAATTGTATGATTATTTGTCTTTGAGTTTGCGATGGAACTATTAAATGGAAGTGACGTAATTTTTTATGTAAACTTTGGAAGGCGCCACTATCAACACAACGTTCAAGGATATTTTTGACTGTCCTAAAATAATGACTATCAATTATTACATTTACATAATTTGTATATAATAAATTTGATATATACATATATTGTATTTTTTTATAAATTTCTACATTTGACTCATCGGACTGTTGAATATTTTATAAGTCAAACTATAATTAAAACAAATAAAAAGAAGATAAAGTCACTCTTTCCAAATTAATAAATAATTATTAATATAATATTAAATAATATTAATATTTATTTAAATTATATTTAATATTTAATAAATTATTACATTATTATTATTAATTATTACTCTTATTCTTCGCTCAGTATTTTGAACTTTTATCAATCTGATATTTTTCTGAACATAACAATTTTTTTTTAAGTCTATTCTATCTATTCTAAATTATTTTTTTTTTGTTTTTTGCATCAGAACCTAAAATGATACTAAAAGACAGAAATTTTCTTCATTATAATTTGTTAGATAATTTCATGGCATTTATTTTTTGAATATTATTTTCGGGATACCATTTTCGGCATATTATTTTTCCGCCACGGCTACAAGTTACGTGGTCCATTCGATCAATCCAATTTTTAACCATTTTTTCCAATAAATGTGACCGTATGGCATCAATAGCGTTAATGGTGGCATGAAAATTGGCTTTCAATGCTTTAAGAGTTACTGGTTTGTCAGCATGAACCAATGACTTAACATAGCCCCATAAAAAGTAATCTAGAGGCGTTAAATCTCACGAACAAGGGGATCAGTTAACAGGACCACTTTTGGAAATAATAAATCGATTCTTAAGCGCGCTGTATGTATGTCCTGTATGCGCTGTATGTCCAGTTAAGCCGTTATTAAGCCGTGATTCTTATGTAATATTTTATTAATTATTATGATGATTATGCCTTATTTTCCCAATCTTCATTATATATTCAATCTTCCTGAAGATCCTTATAAATGGCGGTAACTATGTTTTTTGGGTGATGTTCTTATTACTGTGTCTAGGTGATTATTTACTTAATATTATAGTAGTGCATCCTATTTATTTGTAGTACGAGTAATAGAATCATGAACCGCAGAATTAAATTGAATAGATTTATGCAAAGTTGAATATATATACGAAGGTCACTATTTATATTTTGAGCCTTGCAACATTTTTGCAGGTGTCATCAGACGTTTCCATACAAAAATTGGACGTTATTAAATATATTTTACCTTAGACTTTTTGTTAAAAGAGCGGTATCTACACTTATCTACACTGATTTGTAAATTGAGTATTCAAGAGATATATATACGATTGTAACAGGTGACGAATAATGCGTATGAGCCGGAACGTAAAAAGCAGTCGACTTTATGAGTGTATCAGGATGAACCAAATCCAACAAAAGTTGTTCGCGCTCGAAGCACTTCGAATAAAATAGTCACTTGTTTTCCGAGAAAACTGATCATGTGGCAACTACGAGTACACTATTAAAGGAACGTGAAACGGTCAATTCCGAATGATATACAACTATTTGTTTACCGAAAGTCTTTAGTGAAATACGGAAAACAAATAAGCGCCGTCGGATTATTCTCCATCTGCATCAAGACAATGCGAGTGCTCACACATCTCATCTAACAACCGACTATTTGAACATTCATAATATCGAATTGATAGGCCATCCACCTTACAGTCCTGATTCGGC